CCCCAAAACCCCAAAACCCCAAAACCCCTTTGCACTATAAATAATTGAAATTCCCTTACCAAACAGTCACTTAAAATGGCACACTATTTATCTTCCATAAGAAATCAGGTAAGCCTCCAGCCTGCACTGAGAACCTAAGCTGTCTGCCAAGGCCGCTGCTGAAGAGAAGGAATAAGGCTGATAAGCAGGTTTAGACTTGCTTTTTAGGGGTTTTGAGGGCGGATCGGGAAATAGTTGTTGCAACAAAGGGAGCAGGAGGGGTGGTGGCACAGTGATGAGTGGATATATAGGTGAATACTAGCCTTAGTGAAGAATCTTACGATTTCTCAAGGCAAGAGAAAGAAGAGAGTAATTAAAGAAATTTATAATTTTTCATTTTTATTTAGAAGATGAACATAAGATGGCAAAATTATCCTGTAAAATTAAGGAAATTTTGAACAGATCGAAACAGAGAGGTTCTAATAAGAATGCAGAAGCTTTAAAGGTATATTAAATGATTTTAACTCTTAACTCTGCTCAATCAGCGAGTATAAAGCAATAACTATTTCGAACAAAAATTCAATAAACTTTCTCTGTATTGATCCCAGCCATCCTAAAATTCCTAAATCCTATTCTGACTGCTATCCAGACCCACTCAATAACAGAGAAAATATTCAAGCAGACTCATAACCGCACAATGGAAGAGATCAAGTACGATTTTCAGTCAAAATTTAGCCTCCTCCGTAAATATCTTAACAGGAAATAAGACTCCAGTCAGGCTTCAGAAGATACATAGGAAGGGGAGAAGTACGGGGGATGGGAGATTTGAAGAAACTAGCATCCAGATCAACAGGGTTGTTAATAAGGAACTTAGAGAGAAGGAATTGAAGGAAAAGAAGCAGTATCAACAGAATTTTGGCGAGTTTGAAATGCCTAAAGTTGAACCGCCTAAGTTTATTCATAGGAGTTCGTCCCAGATTCAAGCTGAGTTGGCGAAAGTTCCCTTTAGATCACGGATAACGAATTATTGAGGAGAGAATCAGGCTTATTTTCGGTATAAGAGAAATACTCTACTGCAGAAAGAGGATTCACCTGATATTCAAAAGAAGTTACCTGAAATTAATCAGAAAGTCTTGGATGTCTTAGCCAAAAATGCAGAGATTTCGTATTGAAATGTTTTAACTCTCTAGAAAAATTATCTCAATGCAGTCTTCTAAACAGAAGAAAGCGAAAAAGACCAAAAGAGAAGTCAATAAATCAAATATTGACTTGAATGGTGACTTATTCAAAAAACCAAAAAGAAGTGTAGATTATTCAACAATAAAATCAAGAAAAGTTGTTCAAATGCTGGATTCAGGAGAAATTCAGAATATGACCTCTATCAGAACAAGAAAAGGCAGCATGTACAAGACGCCAATGAATATGAACACCAAGAGGCTTGGCGAAAAGTAAAGTCTTGTTTTATTCTAGGTCTGATAATGATCATAAAAGACCTAAAAGGAGCACAAATAGATCAGTAATTGGGCACCAGTCCAAATTGAAACTGCCGGATGAGTTATTCCAATCTAATAATGATCATGATATGTAAAGTGTTATTTTTATAAATAGCCTCAAAAACCAAACATCGAGATCAAAGAAGATTCTAGTACAGCCGATTACTACACTAACAAGAGAGGGTTCTAAAGAAAGCTTGATAAATAAAGATAAGCTTGATACAATAATCACAGAATGTGATCAATATAGAAAGAAAGATAAGGTTTCTCCATTGAAATAAACTTGAGTATGCTCAATTCTTAGAGAATTACTATCAAGAGAATTTCAACAACACAATAGATCTCATGAAAAAGTTTAAAGGCTCTGATCCACACATCCTCGAGAGATTTTACAACTATGAAACCATCAAACGAGAAGAAGAGATGGTCAGAGTCGCCGAAGTAGCCAAACAATACAAAAGGAACATCACTAACCCTTGTAGAACTATAGCTGTGCTAGAAAGGATCGGGAGTACACATAAAGGCAAGCCTCATTAGCCCCAAAATCGCCTTGTCGCCTTCAAAAACCTATAAATTCAACCACTGGGTCCCAAAAAGGGGTTTTGGGGTTTTGGGGTTTTGGGG